GAACGCCTTTTGATTGGACATGGTTTTCCTCCTGATTGTCTCTTTCGTTTGACCTGGAGAAAGATGGTAGAAGCCAGAAGCTTCGCTTCCTATTTCCTGTTTCCTGTTTCTTTCATTTAAAACATTAAATGGCAACATGGCCTGAGGCCATGCTAGTATTTGTTTGGTAAACAGTTTAGCAATTAAAGCAAATTCAGGCAAACAGAAAGCAAAAACGAAAGAGCTCAGTTCTAAAAAATATATGTTAAAAGGGTGGAATCACAGGAACAATGGTATGTACATGTTTGAAACGAACAAAAAGTATTATTTACATGTTATGCCATGAAACGAAAAGTTCAAGGGTAAGAGTGACTTACCTTGCTTCAGGTCTTGAATGAATGTGGGGCCTTGAGTGGTGGCCCTGGATGCTGGATTCGAAAGAGGGGTCACAGGCTGTGCTTGGAGCGCTGGATTTGAAGGAAAAGAAAAAGCAAGTGTGATGCTTCTTTGATTCGAAGGAGACTGAAGTGTGGTTGTTCTTCAGAATCGAAGGAAGTAAGTGTTTGTGATTCTGGGTTTTTTTTTCTCACAAGTGTTGAAGGGACTTGAGAGATTTTTCTGTGTTTGAAAATTTGGGGGATTCCTTCCTCTGGTCCAAAAATCCTCTTTAAAAATATGTGTTGGAGCCTCTTTATTTATAGGCGAGCTTTGATATGGTTTTGGGGGGAAATCAAATAATATTTGAATTATTTGGGTATATTGCCCCCTTGTTTTCTTCAATGCAGCTCTTGTGCACTCCTTTTTTGTGCAAGTACAGGACTGAGACAACGCATGCTTATCAGTATTTTGGAGCTTAGTGGCAGGTTGGTGCAGGACTGCTGCACAGCAGCACAACTAGCTTGAGTTTGGCAGTATATGGGACTTTAGTCAAAAAAACTCCTTGAATACTTCCCCCTTTCGTTTTGATCACTTCGACCAGCTTCATGATTACACAAAAATGTTCGTTTCCAAACAATGTGTGCTCTAAGTACGTTGCTTCGAAGGGTTTAGTGGTCCAACTTGTGAATCGAAGGAGGCCACCTTGAAGGAAATCACATGTCCAGCTTGTGGGTCAAAGGGGGTCACTTCGAAGGAAACTACATGGCCAAATCGAAGCTTGTGACTGAAGGGAGATTTTATTGCCTAATCGAAGCTTGTGACTGAAGGGAGGCTGTATTGCCCATCGAAGCATGTGGATCGAAACAAACATATTGCCCAATCGAAAGCCCGTGTTCGAAGGAAGCAATGTTGCCCAATCGAAGCATGTGGATCAAAAGAAGCAATGTTTCCCAATCGATGCATGTTTGCAGACAGTAAACTTGTCCAAATCGAAGTAGGCTTGCAGGCAGCACGCTTGGTGAATCGAAATAGACCTGTCAGCACATGAAATCAAAGAAACAAAAAAACACACATTTCGTGCTTGATTAGAAGTTAGTGATACATAGGCTAAGAATGTTCAAAACACTTGACAATTTCTGCATAATCAATGCTCGAAGGTGAGAGGTTAAAACCAACTGTATTTAGTGACCTTGACTTTTGTATAAAAAATGCAAAAATGAAAATGGGATCTTAGGTCAAAAATTGGGGTATGACAGCTGCCACCTAGCCTGCGCCTACTCTGCACCTATACTGTATGTTATAAGTCCCCTCCCATCACCTCCAATGGGCTTACATGCATTCAGGCAAGGAATCCCAAAAGTTGTCACCTAGCCTGAGCCTAGCCTGCAACAAAGGACACCTCTTATTTGCCAATTGGGGTGGCGACACCATTCATTTTTGTACTCTTTCGACAAGTCAAATGGCGCCTCCCTTACTGTCCAATCGTGATACATCCTTAGGCTGCCACCTAGCCTGCAAGAGTGACACCTTTCATTTTTTGTACATGCATGCATGCATATATGTAACCCCCTAGGCTGCCACCTAGCCTGCAAGAGTGACACTTCGCATGCATGCAAGCACCAACAACCACTATATGAAATTTATTTGCCTATAAATACATACCATATCATACATCTCTCACACCCACACAAGTCTCACTCTCTGCTACGAAATCTTTCATAGTCTTTCATACTCTCTATCTCTTCCTAAGTCTTTCATACTCTCTATCTCTTCCTAAGTCTTTCATAATCTCAAGCATTTTAAACAATGGCTCTTCTAACAATGGGCGATACTCACAGAGGCACAAGGGAAAACATTGCCGCATTTGTAAGTTTCTATTTTGGTTATACATTTTTCATACTTCAGATAATGCGTTGTTCGTCTTACTTAATCTTACACATGTTACTTTGTGAACTCAGGACACAAAAAGATTCAGAATCCGTTCTCACAACTACCTGGCTCCCGACCCATTTATCGTACCATATCTGGAATACGCAGGTTTTGGACATGTCATAAAGATCTCCAACTGCACCATTGACCCGAGGTTCATTCTTGCAATGTTGGAAAGGTGGAGACCAGAGACCCATACATTTCACCTACCAATAGGTGAATGTACCATCACGCTAGAGGATGTGTACATGCTACTAGGTCTCCCTATCAACGGTAAGGCCGTGAACAGGTCGGTTCAACAACCCAACTCTCAGTGTGAAGAACTGTTGGGCAGGGATATGGTGGAAGGTGGTGGTGCGAGAGGTCAGGGAATACTACTCACTGAGCTGAAAAGTCATTATGCAAGTTTGGAATTAAATGAAAATTCCTCCGAGAATGACAGGGTAGTAAAAGCCAGAACTTATCTTATGATACTATTTGGTACCTTTTTATTTCCCGAAAGTACGGGAAATAGTGTAAATTTTATGTATTTACATTTATTAAGAAATTTTGAAAAAACAAGAAAATATAGTTGGGGTTCTGCAGTTTTAGCCCACCTATACAGTTCCTTGTGCAAAAATGCAGTCAAGGAAAAATGTACATTTTATGGGTGCGCTTTTTTACTACAAGCCTGGGGTTGGTGGAGGATAGAGTCCTTAAACCCCGTCAACAACAACACTTTCGGTTTCCCGTACGCAACAAAGTAAGTCATCAAGTTATAGCATTTATTACTATTCATCTCTTCCCCAAATATATGCTAAGAATAAAATGTTTTTCATTTTCTTTAGGTATTGTGTGAGGGGTATGGATTACGGCAAGAATCCAAGATTCAATGTCGCACTATACCGCAATCTGTTGGATCACTTAGGCCCGGATGACGTACGTCGTAGCTTTTAACTTTTCTTCATTTAAATTATTTATACATTACTTTTGCGTTAACCTGATTTAAATTTTATCGCAGTTCGTCTGGAGACCATATTTGGGTTTGGGCCATGATCCAAACCCGGAGGATGCAGCAACTTGGACCGCGAAGACTGCAATCATTTGGTTCAACATTGTGGAGATGCACCACAGCGACCGTGTGAAGATGCAGTTCGGAATGCATCAAGAGATACCAAGTGATCCAACTTGTTTGTCCCCATGGCATCTTAAAAGGGTCGACGCCCAGTGGGGTCTTACCAACTGGAAAGACTTCTCTCCAGAATGGTGTAAGATGTGGCAGAGGTGTCACCGCTATGTCTTGCAATTCCCGGTTTTCCTTAATCAAGGTAATATGCGACACATGGATCAATATTTATCTTGGTACAGGTCGGTTAGTAACCCTGAAATGCACGTGTATCATCCAAGGTACTTTGTTGACCCACGCACACAATGGGCACAACCCTCGTTTCCCCAACAACAAACCCAGAACCCATCAACCTCCCACCAACCCCCAAGAAGAAACAGACCCACAAACACCCAACCACAGTCCCCACCACAACACAATTACACTCAAATGCCACACAACCAACCACAATCACCACCACACTACCAATACCCCGATATGCCTCACACCCAACCACAATACCAATCCCAATACCAGCACACCCGCATACCTCACACACAATTTCAGTCTTCCGTATATCCCAATATGGGCCCCTCAACATCCAGCCTTAGCCCTGATATGGGAATGTCGGAAGATTACGAACAAACCGACCCATCCTACCATCAACCACAATATCACCAAACCACCCAACATCCTCAATACCAAACACCCCAAGATCCATTTCCTTTCTACCCACCGTACTCAGACGATCAATGCTACCGACCCACTATGGAATCCCACCCACCGCCAACACGACCAAACTTTGAGGGTATGGGTAACCGACTGTACCAAAGCGGATCTTCTAGATATGGAGATCTGACTGATTTTATGGATCCGAACCGCATTGACTTCGCTGGGCCATCGACCTTGTCGCAGCAGGAAACGCGACGACACCCAGCACGAGAAAGGCGAGGACGGGGATGCGGAACCGGGAGACATTACCGGGTTCCGGGGGATCACTGATTTATATGTTTTTTTTTTCCTGTATTTTTTTATCCGTTTTTTTATCTGTTTTTTTTTTAATCTGTTATTTTAATGTAATACAGTTGGATGTAATTTTTTTTTATAATAAAAAATCTATTTTGTTGATCCTGTATCCAACACGCAACGCACCGGACAAAAAAAAATCACATTTTACCCTAAAATAACACCTAGGCGCCATCTCACTTGGCTTAGGGCATGCCCTAAGCACATAGGCGCCAAGTGAGATGGCGCCTCCCCTTAAAAATTGGGTGCATGCGTCAATTCAGATGACTCCTCCTTTGGAAAGTCATCTGAAACATGGTTATTTGCGTAATTTTTTCCGAAACGCGGTTATTTGCGATTTTTTTTTTAATACATGGTTATTAATAAAAAAAAATCTATATGTTACTGCATCATGATATCCAAGTCATTCAAAAATTGAATAAAGTATCAACATTTAAGGTACAGTTAACTGCATCATTCATCAGGTTCAGAAAGCAATAAAATGACATATATTGACACTTCTAGAAATCATTAAATAGATATATATATAAGTTTTAAGAGAATATATATATAAGCTATCTTGACCTTACCGACTAATAGATATAATTACACTGCAACAGAAGAATCAATAGCTATCAAGTTGAAAAGGTTCATAAAATGCACTTGTTGGAAGTAGATCCCAAATATTCTCCATCATCTGAGGAGTCAAAAGTTCATCTTCATCAAAACCATCGTATGAGCATCCTTCGCCAGGTTTCATCACTTGATCATCAGAATCCACAAGAGGAGGCACCACCACAACCGGGGGAGCATTTTCATCACAACCCATTCTAATATTCTCACTTGCAGAGTCAGGAACGGTATTATCGCCGACGAACTCTTGATATTCCGAAGGATCTGGCGGCGGTTCAGCGTACTGACCAGTGAGTTTTTGGACTAGTGCCATAAATTCAGAGGCACTGGTCTTGACCTTCATAGGGTTGGAAATATAAACTACCTTGATGGGTTTGTTGTTTTTCTTTATGGATTTGGTTATTTTAGTTGGTGTCTTTTGTTGTAGAGAACTAGTCACTGAATTTGTGGTAATGGTGTCCATGGATGTTTGCAACAAAGGATATGACATGACAAGAACGTAGTACTATTGTGTTTGGTTTTATTGGGCGTGGTTGTGTCTGGGAAAATGAAAGAGGAAAATAATGGAAAGTTAAATGGAGAGCGAGGGAGGGCTATAGGCCTAATGCATGTCACAGCCGACACTAGCCGCGCGTGCTGTGCGCTTTTTTTCTTCTAATTTTTTTTTTTTTTCTTTGATAATTTATTTGTGTAAGCCATCTATCTCTAAGCAACTAATTATATTAATCTCTCAAATTGAATAAAAAATAGATAATTATTTTTCATAGATTTTACATAGTTAAATAATCATCTTTTTAAAATAGATATACAAATAATCAGATCTAGGATCTAGAATAAATGGACGCGCAATCTCATATATTACATGCACCTAAACATGAAATTAGACATCATATGAGATGATGCATGTAATATCTAGGCGTCATATGACATAGTGTGTATATGTAATTTTTGTGAAAAAAGTGTCAAATGAAATGGCGTGTACATGTAATTTTTTCAAAAAAACAAAATGAATTTATGCGTCATCTCATATGACACCTCTCTTTTAAATTCACATGCATGCGCTATATGAGATGACTTCTCAGAAATAAAATGAACATATGCACTATTTTATATGGCATATTCATTTTAAATTTGCATCCATATGCCATATGATATGACGTGTCCACTTAATTATAGAGGTATTTTAATTATAAATCCTAGTTATTATTGGAAAAAATTTGAGGATTCAAACACATCTTATAGTGTTGAGAAGGAAAAAAATATTATTTATGTCAAATTATGATTTTAATTGTATCTGTTTTTTCAAAATTTAGATTTGACTTTTTGAAGATTGACTTTTTTGTGGTTTTTTAGAATTTAGTAGCGTTTTTGTCAAATCCCTATTGTGCTATTATACTTGTACATTACACTTTGAAGCTTGTCATTTTATAAAGTTTTCTTTGAGTATTTTATTTTGGGTTTGTAATATTTAATTCCAGAGTTATCTTTCTAAGTTAGAAGGATAAAATATTTATTTTATAATGGGGATTTATCACGCCTTATATTTATATAATCATATAAACATTTTGGAGATAGTTTGAGTGAAAGTAAAACGGGTCTCAAATTCAAGAGGATCCTAGACCAAAGTTTACGGGTAGTATTAGAAAAAATGACACTTAATTAAGAGAGTTCATACGAGGTCGTTGTGTACTATTTACTACTAAGTGTGAATTTCCTTTCATTGAATTAATGACCTTTAAACGTATGTGACTTTGCACTGAACTGAGTTAATAATTTATGCATTATTTAGTTTGATTGTTTAGTATTTATTGTTATGTCTTTATTGTCATACACATTTTTACAATATTATGTGTGATATCGTGTTACTTATCGAACAAAATTTCAATTGACGTTATAGTAGACACCTATTGGTTGGGTGAGCTCCAAGATTTTTTTTATATTATGTTAAAAATGAACAATGCAAAAGAAGAAGGATATGTGTCTTAACCACCCGTTCTAGATGATATGAATTAAGATTATTGGAAGATTTAAATGGTTTCCTTTCTCAAGTCAATAGACAGCTATATTTGAAAAACAGTCATAAAAGGATGAACTCCTCCAAAAAAATCACAGTTAAAGATATTAGAAACAAGCTGATAAGAAAAAATTTCAAATCTCTTTTAAATAATCAAGTTTTCAACCTTTAATACCACTATATCCATTTTTTAATTAGATTTTCTAATATATCTACATTTGAAACGAAAAAATATATTTAAAAGCAATAACTCCACAATCTGTACTTTTTAATTTTATTTATGCTATTTGTGGATTTTTTTTTCAGATTTGATATTTATTGTGAATTTACCTACGAATTAACTTGTTAAGCATTTCTCAATGTATGTAAATCTGCAACTAAATTTACAAATAACGTCAAATATGTAAAAGAAAAATTGTAGGTAACATAAATAAAATTTAAAAAATATTGTGACATCCCCTATTTAAAAAATTTGTAGCTTCTTAGTGTTTATTATTTGTTTGAAACATGAATATATTAAAAAATATGATGGAAATATAGATATATTGGTATTAATCATTGAAAGCTGAGTTATTTGGAAAAATTTCGCAAACAAGCTATATTTATCCTTTGTTTGTTTTGGATATTATGAACAGAATAAAACATAGTAAAATCAAAATATCATTTTAATATTAAAAATTTTAAGATAAAATAAGATAAATTGTTTATTCCATCTAAATTAAAAAGAAAAAAATATGATAATAACTAATAAATGATTAAGTAATGAAAAAAATAATATTTAATTTCACTTAGTTCAATCCAATTTTAAATAATTTAAATAATAAATTATTATTTCATTCGGTTTACGTTCCATTCCGTCAATCCAAACAAAATCTAAAATCTAAAATCTAAAAAGAAAAGTCTAATATAATAACTATAGGATATCCACTTTGAAAGCTCAACACTGCGCCTAATCCAAAAACAATTAATGTATCTTGAAAAATAACACTTCAAAATTCAAAAAGTTTTGATGTGTTATCCACGCGCAGGTAGGGTGGAGGAATGTAAAAACTGCATTAATGATGATACCACGTGGCAAATAAACAAGGTGCCAGTTAGATATGATGACGCCAGCAATGGGACTCTGTATGACGTCATCAAACTCAAGTTTCCACTTGCTAGTTGCTACTTATCTTCTTTCCATGTCTTGTGGTACATTTGTTTCTATAAGGATTTTTTTAAAAGTTTTAAAAGTTTATTATTTATTATTTAAAATAAAATAAAAATGATTAAACCATCCATATGCTCAATCATTCAATGTACTACTTGCTTGACGCCAGCAGCCTCAATTCAAGTTGGCTTAAGCAATTCAATGGAATCCAACTACTCCTTCTTAAATAAATGATTCCAATATTCTAAAATATTAATTAGGTTTAACTACATCTTTGTTTCTCTATTTTAAAACTTTTAATGTTTTAATCTCATTAAAAATTTCGGCCTTTTGATTTCTCTAATTATCAATTCTTAAGTTTCTTTCTATTCCTATATTTTTGTAATGATATAGTCTTAAATAATAATGACATGTAAAATAAATAATAGGTTTAAATGTAATTTTAACCTCTCAAATTTTTTTGATTATTTGATTTTGGTCTTTTAAATTTTAATTGTTTGATTTTTATCTCTCAAATTTTTTAATTGTTTGATTTTGTTCCCCTAAGTTTTATTTGCTTGATTTTGTCCCTTTAAATTTGTCTCATTTTGCATTTGATAATCCCCTAATGACATATCGACTAAATTTCTATTTTTTTGTTACTTTTTCTTTCTTTCATTTTTAATTTTCTTCTCTATAATTCCTCTATTTTTAATAGTTAAGTTTTAAATATAATTTTTTGAAAATCTTAAATATTTCATATCACGGATCTTGGTTCGCGCTTTATGGCATTTCCACTATCAAAAAAATCCAATCCCGCAAAGGATTGTTCATGAAACTACTATCGAGATTCTTTGGACCATATTTTCTAGTATCATCCCGATGTTCATTGCTATACCATCATTTGCTCTGTTATACTCGATGGACGAGGTAGTAGTAGATCCAGCCATGACTATCAAAGCTATTGGACAAACTCTTTGACCAATAACTCCTTCATATTTAAACATAAGGCCTCGAAGTCTAACAATCTTATTAGTCATATAGAATTTCAATCATTTTGTAAGGGATATTATTTATCCTTATACTTTAAAATAACTTTGTTAAAAGGTTCACATATGTTATTGACTAAAGAGCTTGTTTTTAATTAGCTAGTGGTCTATTTTTTTATAGTCAAAACAATTTATCATTAGACATATGTTGAATGAAATATTTAAGATTTTCAAGAAATTACATTTAAAACTTAACTATTAAGAAGAGAATTATAGAGAAGAAAATTTAAAATAAAAAAAAAAGTAACAAAAAAATAGTAGTTTAGTCGATATGTCATTAGGAGACTATCAAATATAAAAGAGAACGAATTTAAGGGGTCAAAATCAAGTAATTAAAATTTGGGAGACCAAAATCAAGCAATTAAAAAACTTGGGAGATCAAAATCAAACAATTAAAATTTAAGAGACCAAAATCACAATCGAAAAATTTAAAGAGTCAAAATTGTATTTAAACCTAAATAATACTGCCTTCATTCCTTTTTATAAGAAAAAAAAATCATTTTTTAATTTCGTTGAATAATCAATATATTTGATTAGCTTATAAACTAAACACATTAATTATTCAATAAATCTAAAAAATATATTATCTCTTATAAATAGGAAAGAGATATTAATATATAAAATGTTTTTCTAATTTATTCTTGCCACATTAGTGCCACATTATAAATTGAGGCATCACCCAAAAAATGTAGTGACAAAAAGTCCAAAAATTATTATATAGGAGAATTAAATAGTTAGTTTTTTTTATTGAGACTAAAACATAAAAAAAAAATAGAGGATTAAATGTGTATTTATATTTATTAATTTTTTTTTTGAGATTTTTAAATATATTATCATTATTTTTTATATATTAGACGTTTTTTCTTTTATATTTCATAAGGCGTCAACTTTAGAATTGATATTATCAAGAGACGATTCATTGCATAGTAAGAAGTGCTTATAATATCGGTCTATAAATACTTAAGAAGGTTAGTCTCATTGAGAATCTTTCTCGTTATCTCTTCAATAGATTTGTTTTTCCCTTCAATTACTCCATTTTATTGGGGAGTTTATTGAGTATAAAAAGTGTGCACAATTTTATTAACGTTACAAAATTTCTCGAATTCCATTTTTGAAATTCAACTATGTGATCGCTTCAAATAGACGCAATGTTTAGGCCTTTTTTCGTTTTGGATAACTTAAACCAATTTGCAAAAGAAAATGAATGTGTCTCTTTTATGAGATAGTGAAATTCTATTTGATCAATAATAAAATGTCACACACAATGTTGA